CAGGTCCCTTCCGACCCTAGAAAATATGAAACTATGAAACCTAACCGTGGCTAGGTCAAGCTAAACATCGAGCCTATACATACCCCCTGAGTCCTACAATTCAACTGATTCACTGACTAGGTTCTATAAAGTTTGCCTTTTTGAAATTTAAGTCCTTAGTTACAGACCTACTTTTGGTTCTGCTTCCCTTTTTAATTTAAACCAAGTCATCTCATGATCACAATTATCTGAGATTAATTATATTACTTCCAGATATTACACAAGATCCATAGCTCAGTGTTCAAAATACGTGAACAAAATCAAGCTAGCCTGGATTTACTTACTGAAAGAATCAGAAATAAATCCTTTGGAATAATTGTTTCCAGGCAGCTGTTCTGAGTTCCCAGAAGGCTTACCCTACCTTTTTCCCAGAAGGCTCCCCAGGCATTGTCCCTGAATGAAGTTACCTGATCTTTAAATCCATAATGAAGATGAGGCAACATATGCAGGCATGGTGACAGAAGAGTTATGTCAGATGATATGATGCTCAGTTCTCCATGTTTTGTTCTCCCTGGATATCCTTCAATTCCAATGATGTCTCCTCGTCGCAGCTTATTTATAGTTTCAGTGAAAAGCTCCTCGGACTTGAAAAATCTGACAAGAAGCAGCAGCTGACTTAGAAATGCAAAATCATTTCAGACTAGGGTAGAAAATAACTTTTATGCAAAATAAAACTAAAATCATCCATATAAACTGATGCTTAGATTGTTCTTTCATTCTTGGTGGAAATCTATCTAGGTCATAGATTACTACCATATTTATTCGATTAGAAGATGAGGTCCCACCCACATTTAACATGGTGGGGGGGAAGCCCCTCACCTTACAATTGAACATGAGGCGGGAGTAAAGATTCAGTTACTAGTGACATACATTTACAGAAAGGAAATTTCCAGTTCCAACTTCTAAGTAATTTCCAACTTCCAACTTCTCTGGTGTAAATGCTTATCAGCTGGTGTAGGTCAGCATAGCTTCTTGACGTGAAAGTAATCATGCAGATTCACACCAGCTGAATGGCCCTGTGACCTGTGAGTCCAACCTAAATAAAAAATCACAGCATGCAACTGTGGAACAAGCTACAAACTGAGGTATGGGGACATTTAGCAAATGATTCCTAAAAGAGAACAAATGTAAAGGAACTACAGTATGTTCGTTCATAATTCAAGAACAAAAAAGAAGGAAAGTTTTATTAGGATGTGTTTGCTCTAACTAGTTTAGCCATTGTAAAAATACTTGGCTTTTATTTAGTATCTACCTAAAAGCTCACTGAAGTCAGTGGGAAAAACTCCGATAAATGGGCTGAAGGTCATCTTTATGGAACTTTCCATTGTTCATAGCCTTGTACTAGCATTAACTAACTAATTAAGCTTCCTAGATGATAATAAGCAATTATATAGAAAAAAGTAAATAATAAAGAGAGAAAGCTACAAAGAGTTTGAGGCAGGTTAGATCTAGATCTGAATTTTGTGTTTGGCCTGTATCCTGCAACACTACTAAAGGATCATGAAAGAGCACCTTGCTTCTAATACAGGACAATAAATGTTATTAGAATAGTATTAGCCATAAAGCTAGTCTCTTTTTTCCCTCTTTCTCTGTCTTCCTCACTACACAGCTTCTACCCAGAATCTTCTTAGATTTTCTTGCAAATGATTTCAAGGAACGGGACGTATATCCTCAGTAGACCCCTCTTTGTTCATAAATAATGTATACTCACTTAGCATTTGCCATAACTTGTAATTTAACTCCATTTCCCCGGAGATCGTAGAAAAGCAGCTTTGCACCAGCAGATCTCTTGGCATAAATTCGTCCTAGAAAAGGAGGGGTTGTTTGTATATAAGAGCAAAAGACAACATGGAGGTGAGGAAATTCCTTGTCTGGTTACAAGTATGTAACCAAACCCACAGTAATCTTTACCGAGGAATCAGAATTCTCCAACCTTTTTCTATTCTTCCAACCTTTGCTTACAAAGGAGAGACCACTTCATTGAGCATCCCTCCCTTCAGAACCCATGCAGGAGTACCAGAAAAGTTTCTGCTGACCACTGGCAGTGATGAGGTGTAAGGGGTGCACAGGGGTGCACGTGGACCCCCTAACAGCACCAGTGCACCCCCTGTCAGGCTGCGCTCCCCATTTAGCCAGAGGACAGGGGGGCAGGTGGGAGCATCAGTGCCCCCCCTGCAAGTGCCAGCTGGAGAGTGGGGCCACCAGCAAAAGTGGCTGTGCCGCTTCTGCTTTTTGGTGAGTAAGATTGGGGGTGGGGACCCCCCCAGTCAGCACGATTGGCTGCCAGGGGGACCCCTCCCAGCCACTGACTAGTGGCCCCCCTGACTGAAGAGGCACCAGTCACCCATGACCACAGGTGAACTGTGGACCAAATTTTCAGGAAATCCAGTGTAAGCTCACAAACAACTAAAAACAGGCCATTCTAATGCATGCTGTAGTTTAAGTTTATGCTGATTGTCATGTTTAGCAGGGAATGGAATATGTTATATGTTTTGAAAATATACTATATTTTTTATATATATATATATATA